CCCGGCGGCAGCCTTCACCCGCTTTGCAGCCCGGGGGGTTCCCGGCAGCGCCGTGCTCCGCTTCGAGGTGGAGCTGGTCTCCATGGAAGAAGGTGTTCCCGAAGGCTACCTGTTCATCTGGCACGGGGACCCGCCAGCGAACCTCTACGAGGAGATGGACCTGAACAAGGATGGCGAGATCCCTGCTGAGGAGGTGGGCAAGGGCTCGTGGGGTGGGAGAGAGCTGGGAGGGCACAGGGGAGCCCACACCAGGGTCCAGCCTGGACCGCGACCTGCACCCGGCCGTGCTGGAGCCGCTCGCAGGGCAACGTGGCACCTCCTCGTCTCTCCCCCTGCAGTTCTCCACCTTCATCAAGACCCAGGTGGCGGAAGGGAAAGGCCGGCTCATGCCCAGCTCAGACCCGGAGAAAGTCATCGCGGACATGTTCAAGAACCAGGACCGGAACCAGGACGGGAAGATCACCGCGGAGGAGCTGAAGCTGAAGTCAGACGAGGACCAGGAGAAGATCCACGAGGAGCTCTGAAGAGCAGCCACCCCACTCGCCCCGTGGACAGGACTGCTCTCGTGCTTCCCGGACAGGACCACCCCGGGAAGCCAGCCCTGCCCCCTGTGCACCCCTTACAGCAGGGGGCTTTGCAATTTTTTTTTAATTTTTATTTAACTGAATTGTCTTCCATGTGTTCCACGTGCGCAGGAGAACCAGCCAACCCCCAGCTGAAAAACCCAGGCGAGGAGGTGGGAAACACCTGTGTTCTTGGGGGTCTCCCTACCCCGCGGGAAAGGCAGCGCCAGCTTTTCCGAGCCCCTCATCTCCTCGTGCTCAGAGGCTCTGGTGGACACAGGGGCTGAGCTTCTCTGAGCTGGACCAAGCCATGCCAAGGCCAGACCTAGAGCCTTTACACGACACTAGCGCTGGCCGCGTTCTCCGTCGAGCCCCCAGAGCCGCGGGCACAGCCCTGAGGGGCCCTGGCTCTGCCCCAGCCCCGCTCTCCCTTTGCCCGCGACTGCATTTCCTCGGTCCAGCCTCCTGGGTCTCACCTTCACCCCGTGCTGGCGCCGCTTGCGTGCTCCTGCACCAGCTCCCGGAAGCAGCTGGGCAGAGGGCTCGAGCCCCGGCAGGCAGGAGCAAAGCTGGGAGCACGCACGCGCCTCCAGCGTGGTGGCAGCCTGTCCCACCGCCGCCAGCTCTGTGAGCTCCCTTTTGCTTCTAATAGCATGGTTGTAGCTTAGGGATTTTTTTGTTTTATATACATAATTCTTTAAAGGAGAGGAAAAATAGAGACGAGCCTCTTGTGCCGTTCCCGGTGCTGGCCTCTGCTTCCCGCCCCGCTCTTACCACGGAGCTCTCCGGCGGGACGAGAGGCTGGAAGGTGGCTCAGGTTCCCAGGGTGAAACCGAAACTCCTCCCAGGCATCTGCTGTTTCAAAAAGTCTGGCCCCTTTCAGACAACTCAGATGAGACCCGATTAACCACTTGTCAGTTTGGAAAATGGAAAAGCCCCATCTCTCCCATCCAGGCCCCCAGGGAGCAGCAGGCTGATTATCCACGTCCTCGTGCTCCCCGCCCTGCAGCACAAGTCTGCCAATGGCAGCACCAGTCAGTGACTGAGGAAAAAAATCAGCCCAACTTTATTTTGATGCCTAAATGCAGCTAAGTAATTAACTTGGCTCTCTCAGGTTTGCCAGTTTTGACCAGTCTGCCTCCATCACCTTTCCACAGCTCTAAAGGCTTGTGTATGGTTTGGCCATGCAAACAGAGATAAAAGAAATGCAAGAAAAAAAATAACGCGTACAGGGTTAGAGTGAACCCCTCAAATGATGACTTTTACTTTGCACCAAATAAAAATAATTTCAACTGGTTTCCAAGAAGTCTGCCTTTGTGTCAGGTTGTTTTGCAATCCATGTTTGTTTGGGCAGCAGCACAAGGATGAGGCTCACCTGCCTCCTTCCTTCGAGGGAGGGCATCACAGTGGGAGCTTTCGAGTCTCAGCACCTGCTATGTTGGGCTGGAAAGAAATAAAACTCAAACAAACAGTCTTTGCTGGAAGGCCTCAGCAGCTCTGGAGGCACTTCAAAGCCCTAGGATGAACATGCCCACAGCAAGGGCATGCTTGCCGTGCCCTTACGGCACAGTATACAGAGCTGAGGTCTGTTGCAATCTACCTGTGCTTCGGCTCCAACAGAAGCAACGTCTCTGCGGCTACCAGCTCTTGCAGGGATGGGGATGAAGTGGAGCTGGGGGAATCGGCATTGCAGGTTGCCAGTGACAGCCTTGGGGGTGAGAGCAGCTCCAAGTCACGACTCCTCCAAGCTGGACAGCGCGACACACACTCTGAATACAAACTGCACACTTTCTAGCTTTACCAAACATTTTTATTTCAACAAAGAGAATGAAACCTGCACCCTTCAGAAGCTGCATTTCCTCAACCTGTAAAGCAGAGGACGGTGAGCCAGCCACAGGGCTAGGGGTGAACCCAGAGCAGCCTAGAACGTACAAGCAGGCCAAAAGGTGCCACCATGCAAACACAAAGGGGAACGTGCTGCGAATCTATGCTGGCTCGCACCACAGCACCCTCGAGGAACAAAAAACTTTCCCAGAACAGCCTAACTATAGTTAATACTGCAGGAACATGTGTCCCTGCCATCTGTGGTGGAAGCATCAGGGCGGGATACGAAAGCAGTTTCTCATGTAAGGGGCCTCAATTTGCCCCTTGCTGAATCAGGGTCGTCTTAGTTTTGCTTTTCATTTACATTACCAGAGGTTACACAAAAATAAGAGGGCCTCTTTCTATTGCTGCTCAGAGAGCCCAGAATCAGCACAGCAGTTTAAGCTAGAAAAATGGTTATCCAAAATATTCCCTAAAAACCAAAGCACTGTTTTGCCTTTCCTCCCAAAATCACACCTCCAGGCTTCAAACAAGCTGCTCCAAGTCCCCAGCCACACTGCTGCCACTGCAAAGTTTGCCCAGACCCTACCAGCCCAGTTCTCGTTAGACAAACCTACTTCTTGCTTTATCATGCAGTGGCAGAAGAGCTCCACGGAACAGCAGGAAGGATTAGAAGAGCCTTTTTACAGCAAGGGCCATTGCAAATCCAATTCTGCACACACTTCCACCCGATGGTACTGCTACCAGGCAAAAACCCCCAGCTGATCTGCTTCCCCTCTACCTTCACTCCCCTAACAGTGACCAAACCTGCTTTTAGCATATACAACTCCTAGAAACGATTCCATGGCAAACGACCTTTATTTCTGCATTCAGCCGCTGAAGCTAGGTACAGAAGGCCTCTACCCAAAATATTAAGTGGTCTGTTGTGGTCCCAAGGGCTGGTTGGGATGAAGTCGAGTAAGCAGCAGAGCTGGGGCAGAGGTGGGGGAAAGCAAGTGGACTATTTGCTTTCCCCAACTCACTCCTCCAGTTCCAGGACTGACGAAAAGAACAGTTTGTAAAGTTCAGGATGGGCACAACACACAAAAGCCAGGGCAGGAAGGGAAAGCTGCCCCTGGTATTAGGATGGATTCAAGCAGGTACCAGGAGACCCACTCCGGCTTTGTAAAGGGAAGGACATTAATTCCCCAGGCGCCTTGCTGAAGAGCCGGAGTCAGGACTGGCTTCCCAGCTCATGTCTCAATTAGGATGTACCGGAGGATCCCATTGACAACATCTAGCGTCTCGTCGCTCTCCAGCACAATGTCGTAGGCATCCAGGTACTTCCCCCTTTGCTCTTCCACCTGCAGCACAGCCGCCAGGAAAGGGTGGAGAGGAGAGGACCACAGAGAAAAAAAGAGGACTGTAAACATCAGCAGCTGAGAATAAGGGCCCTGCACCATGAAACGTCTCCAGGAACAAAACAAAGAGGCACTGTGGGTTTGGGCTGGCGAGAGGTGCCACGAGCTGACACCCAGAAGCAAGCAGGAACTGCCATGGAGCACAGGTCTGCCCCTCGCAGCTCCCACAGCCTTTGCATGTCTCTTGATGCTATAGTAAAGAGGGGTCAATAACCACCGTGAGACATCCCGAAGCGTGGACACCTGTGCTCTGGGAACACAGCAGACACCCTCCCAGCTCCCTTCGCAGGCACTCCAGAGGAGCTAGTGGCAGTCTCTGCACCCCCCGCACTCAGGCAGTTGCCTGCCTTCCTCTGCTGCCACCTGGGCTCTGCACCTGCAAAGGGCCAGCGGGGAAGCAAGAGGCCTGCTCCTCACACTCACCTTGTCATTGAGAAAGCCAATCTTGAGGATGTTCTCCACGCTGGGAACACCATCTGCCATCGTCAGATCACCCATCGAGTCCCCCAGCAAGATGATGCTAGTCCTACTGCTCAGCTGCTGGAAATACTCTGTACCCTGAAGAACGGTGTTGTTCTTGTTGTAGGTGTGGATGAGAGGTCCCTTGAAACACTTGAGGACTCCCTGTGCAAACAAGACAGAGAAGCTGATCCCAAAGCAATCCCTTCACTGTGCCACAGTCTCAGTGTCCCTTCTGGAACCAGCTAAAGGCAGGGATGCTACAGGGCTCCAGCTCCAATCTCTGAGACACCTCACGGAGCAGTCTGGCAACATAGCGGCCACGAAACACGTGGAGTCAGTCCCCAAGAGTCCCCTTTTTGCAGGGCAAGTCTTTCCCAGATGATGAGAACAAATCCAAAGGACTGAGAACCTGCAGGTCTTGGACTGGGCTCTGTGCTGCCCTGGAGCTATTCAGAGGGCCACAGGAAGCCAAAGGCAGAGGAGCCCTAAGGCAGGGCATGGCCCTCCAGGAAGGCAGTACATTCGTGCACTGCTACACTGCCCCAGGCTCATCGTGAGGACTGCCCGTCCCAACATGCCACCAGCAGGAGCAGAAGGCTTCGCTGTAAAAGGCCTGTTATTTTCTAACGTGAATTGGGACCTTCCAGGCTTCAGTACGTTTTCAGCCCACTTTACCTGTTCTCTATAGCAGGGACTCTTGTTCATGGTTGACACAACTCAAGCATCATGGTATAAGCAGAGGAACCCCTAATACCCTCCAGCACTAACAGTCAGGAAGGCTGCTACGGTAGCAGGTAGCAACCCATGAAGTCACATAAAATCAGGGTGGGAGGGCCATGACTAGTCTCTAAGGTGCTCCCATGACCCAGAAAAGGATCAGTTCTAGGTAAAGGATAAAATCTACTTAGAAATGTTAATAGACAGCTTTTAACCTAGCAGCGTCTCCGTTAAACGTTTGGCAGCCCTTGAATTCATTTCTAACAAATCCCCTTCTCTCTGCAGACTCTCAGCACGTACGTGATGCAGAAACTCACGTTATCATCAAAGTCCATGTAGTTGGATACCACGTTGACGTTTGGGTGGAAAACACTGGCCTGGCGGATAATTTCTTCAAGGATGTCACCCACGCCAGCAGAGAAGATGAACAGGGGGACATTGTATTTATGCAGCTGGTCGAAAAATTCTTTGAATCCATCCCTAAAGCAGAAAAGTCCAAAATACAGTATTACATTACCACCTTCCAGCCCACACTGACAGGTGCTTTGTGTACGGTGGGGCTGTGAAAGCTCTCAGCCTAGCAACAGGGCTCATGTTTCTGCCTGGGACTTCCCAAACAGAAATGCGTGCATGGACTCTGCAAAAAAGCACTGGGCTTTTGGGCCTTATCATATTTACTGTGCATATAGAGGGCGTGCGGCAGAACCATCAGACTCTTCCTTGAAGCACTGACCCAGCGGGCAGCTACACAGTAACACGCAGCACCTGAGTAATATGCCCAACGTTTCCTGAAAGCAGCCAGCTTCTTCCACGTAGTCACAACACACATGCCTGCACACAGCATGCCTGCACGTGCACCCATGAGAGCTGGGGCTACCAGCTCCTTCAGAAACAGTACAGATGACACACAACAGGTCAGACTGGGTTGCAAGGACTACCAGAAAACTATGTAACAGCCTCAGAATCTGCCAGGACACCATTTCTGGGCAGAAGAGGAGCTCAGGCCCATTAAAGCCTGGACGTGTGGTAGCTATCTCCTCTGTGCGGTTGGAAGCTCACTGAAACAAAGGCTTCTCAAGCTAGTTTAAAGAAAAATCACTGCCAAGGCTGGTTCTAACAGCAAGTTTTAGTGCAACATTTTTGCGCTGTGGATGAAATCTGATGCTGAGTCAAGAGCCTGGATAAAGCCCATCGGTTACTGTGAGTGGAGAGAAAATCTCATCTGGAAGAGAGCAGCTGCATGCTGCTCCCCTACCCCATCCTACAAACAGCTGAGGGCTTGGAAGAGTTGTTTAGGGAGCTCCACTGATCCACTGGTTCCCTTGGCTGATCCTCGCCAAGACACAAGGAAGCAGGAAGGAGTCACCCGTGAACTGAGCAGCCTTTCAGAGAGCGCTCAGGTTGCACGCAGCTTGTGGGGCTGACCTTTGGCTCTCTTTCACGATTAAAACTAAACCCCAGGAAGGAAGGAAGATTTGCATCTGCCACGCTTTAGAGACTGCGCGCAGACAAGAGTGAAAGCAAGCAGGTGAACTGCACTATCAGAAATCAGTTCAGAGCGTCTCCGGAGGTCTGAAGGAAGTTAAGGGGAGCTGTGGAGCTGTAATGAGACCTACTTCCACAGTGACAGTGATGGCCCCAGGCAGCATGCTGAACCCCAAGCCAGTACCTCAGCATCACGTCTGATTCTCTGACAATCTCGGCTATGTCACTCTTTAGGATCTTCTGCTGTGACAGGAGGTCATGGGCCCTGCTCCACCTAGAGAAAGGTACCAAGGTGAGCTTGGTCCAAACGTAAGGCAGTCAGAAGAGTAAAAAGTAGGAACTTCCTGGTACTCCTGCCAATTCTGTAGAAAGGTCAAGCTTTGCATATTGCACACAGTCCTCAGGGGCAAGAAGTTGCCAGGACAAGGTCACAAGCACCTATTAAATCTATGCCTTTCTGCTCTGAAAAACAAATGCAGGTCTTGCTTGGCTACATCCATTCGGGCCTCAGGTCTCTTGCATTTCTTGATAGCTGCTGAGCTATTACCAAGGATGTGCTATCGGATATTGGTAATAGACAGTCTGCAATATCTGGCACCAGCATGTAGTGAAATCAGGTCTCTGCTGGATATCCAGCATCACCATTCCTATATCTGAAGGCATTATCTATTATCAGTAACTATAACGAGGGAACCCCTCCTCTCTTTCCAAGACTTTCTTCATTTTGATTTTTTTTTTTTTTTTTTTTTTTTTTCTTTACTTGCAGTGACTTGGAATCCAACTTGCTCTTTAATTGGCCCCACACAGCATGGTTGAGGGCAAATTATCCAGCAAGCCTGTGCCATGTACTTAAGAAATGGAAAGACTGTATGTTAAAGGGGGATCCCTTCTGCTGCACAGCAAGCTCCTCTATGTTTGGGCTCAGGAGGAACAGTCTTTCTTCCAGCTTGCCCCTTCGATGTTCACCTTGCAGTACAAGCTCATCACGTGCAACCACTCACCACTCCACCATGAGGGGGCGTTTCTCTTCCAGGGTCCGGTTGGGATCAATTTCGATGGGATAGTACCAGTGCAGCAGATCTTTTAACTGCAGCGTTGTACAGATACAAAAGAGAACATACAGCAAATATCAAGTCTAAAGAGACTGTAAACAAGAAGTATTTCCAAATTCCCCTAAAGCACCACACTTAATAACAAAAAACACAAAAACCTTTCACTAAGCAACTGCACTTTGAGGAAATCTGGGGAATCTCAGAAGGAAGAGTTAATTGTCTAGCAGCCTGGCTGACAGTCTCATCTTGGGTCAAATACTCCAGACACAGATGAACACACATATATTCTCCCTCTTCTTACCAGATCAGAAATATTGATAACTGAGCATGCAAATTAAGTTTCTTTTTAAACTTCCCCTTTCACTAGCATTGGCTGAAATACAGCCTGGAAACTTGCTCTGTTCTCTGTCCTGGCAGCACACGTGCATCTGCCCTGTCATGCGAGCCAGTGCAACCTACTGATCATGAATGATGGGACTAAACACACAGATACAAAAACCAGTGTCTTACAAAAGAACACCTACCTTCTTCTTGCCGTCTTCACTAACAACACGACTATTATCAAGGATATCTGTGAAGACAACAAAATCCCAGTGTTGTAGCCCAGGGACATATGGAAACAGTAAATACGCTTTCTAAAAGGCAGCTAGTTTGGGTCAAGATCTCAGAAAGTTGGCTCTTCCTGAAAATCAGGAATCTGTGGCACATTGATCTGAGCACACATTAAATGCAGGTTCTCAAAGCGGTGGCTCCTTCTACGAATCTTAGCCAGGAACCCCACAATGCACACACTGGTATGAAGAGCGCATTGCTCAGCAGGGACAGAACAGAGTCAACACTAGTAAGCCTTTGTGTATAAGTACTAGAAAAGGAAGCAGCATCTGGGGCCCTCGGTTGGAAAGCTGGAGCAGAAAGCTCAGGAGATCGTTTCTGCAGCGAGTTTTGGACTGTCTGGAAGCGTGGAGCTGAGAGACAGCAGCCATTACTGGAAATGGCTGAGGCCTGGAGCTGAACTGAGAGAACAAACAAGACAGTGGAATAGCCAGACTTCGTAAAAGAGGGAGGCAGAAGATAACAGGAGGCTACAGAGGCTGAAAACACAAACACAGAGAACAAACATAACCAGAACAGTAAAAATGCAGGCAAGGCTTCAACTCACTGTGAGAGGTGGGGCAGCGTCTGCCATTGCATCCAAACCTGCTCAGCGTCATGTCAAAGTCAGAAATGACCTGGAAGACAAGACAAGACGAGACAAAATCTGAGCGACCCGGTGTGCTGTATCTCTGAAACAGCTAGCCAAGAGTGGTGGTGTCTGCAAGGAAGCAACTCCAGCATTGATGCGTTTCATGTGGCAGCACAGACTCGCAACAGATTAAGGTAGCAGCTTGTGGCCAAGAACTTTGACGCTCCTGCCAGCTGTGAAGCAGATGTCCTCATCTGAGACAGCCAGCACCCCTCCCACCCCGAATGCTCTTATCAGCACCAAAAGGTATAATCCTGCTGACTTACTGCCATGGGTGGAGGGGGCATGTTTGGGGACTGGCTAATATTTATAGCGTGCATTACAGGGAAGAAAAAGGCCCATCTACGGAGAGCAACCAGCTTGGGCTTTGGCAGGAAAAACAGCGTGCTCTCTCCTCTCACCTTGGACTTTCTGCTGCCCATCTGCAAAATGGAATAAATGGTACTTCATTGAAGCAAGGTCCTGGGAACAGTCAGGTCATGGCTGAGGAGGCTGAATAAATGGTGGGCAGCAGAAGCCAAGCACCAAGCAGGACAGATGTGTCACTTGCCCTTCACCACCGCGATGCTGGGACAGCCCCACCACAACTAGTGCCAAACCAGGCCATGAAGCAGTACCTGCAGCTTGTTCATCCCCTGCTCCTTCATGGAATGGATTATCTGCAACACATGCTCTGGGTGCTTTATGCGGACTGTGGCTTTCTCCAGCTCAGGCACCTGCAGGAGGAGACCCCCCCACGTAAGTGACTTCCTGGGTATCCCGTGTGGATCCCAGGGGACAGACACCCATCATCCCCAGCCGTGCTGTTCATCCTCGGCCGTGCTCCTCACTTCACCCTTGCCCTGGGGCCATGGTCACCCAGCCCCACAGGAGAACGGCTGTGCTCCCTGTTCCCTTGGGATCCTGCTCCTTAATCCTGTGCTCTCGGTAACCCCGGGCCCTGCTCCCCACCTGGGCTGTGCTCCCCATCCCCGGGGGCCACACTCCGTATCCCAGCCCGCGCTCCCCATCTCAGCCCGCGCTCCCCATCCCTGGGGGCCACACTCCGTATCCCAGCCCACGCTCCCCATCTCAGCCCGCGCTCCCCATCCCTGGGGTCCATGCTCCGTATCCCAGCCCACGCTCCCCATCTCAGCCCGCGCTCCCCATCCCTGGGGTCCATGCTCCGTATCCCAGCCCACGCTCCCCATCTCAGCCCACGCTCCCCATCCCCGGGGGCCAAGCTCTGTACCCCAGCCTGTGCTTCCCATTCCTGGGGACCACGCTCCGTATCCCAGCTCGCTCCCCCCATCCCCGGGGGTCGC